ATCAAGGTTACTATCAGCCTGTCACTCATTTATTTTCAGGGAGGGGGCGGGTTTGGAGGAACAGAAAGGAGACCGGGTGATCGTGGAAGGCTTTTTTCCTCCCGCCTTCACCAAACTTTAAACCTATGCTTTACACACGGTATATATCAATCTGAGATAGCAAGTAGGACATTAATACTCCTGCAATCCAGAAATTATCTAAATCTCACCAAAAACCTGACATGTAACGCAAGTATAAAAAAATCATAAACCACCCTGTGTGTCTGAGCCGCAGCATTACGGAGTGATTCAGAGCGGGTCCTTCTGCTGTTGGTTCTGGACTAGTGATTGTGTTGGCGGATGAAGCAGACTGCTCCGTGTCTGGTGTCGCTGTCCCGTCTGTTCCCTGATCTCTCCGTCAGAGACCGATTTGATATTCAAGTGACAGAAAAAAAAAAACGTTATTGAAAAGCCGCGGCCGGAAAATCAGGAAGCAACGTTACTACGCTATAATCGATTTATGTTCTGTCACTGCATCGATTCAGAAACACCCACGTCCGCATCGCGATGCATCGTAGAAACGATTCATTTCAACACACCTACTAGAATTGCACTTTCATGCCATAGCACTAAGAATAAATAACGTTGAATACATACAGTAAGATAACAAACTTTATCCGTTGCTCTTTTTCATCAAACTCAGTGCTTACACTCTCATTCCTCACCACTTTAACTTTTCTAGAAAAGCTTTTTCAAACTCTTCTCGTGAAACTGTTTGATTTACTTTCATTGTTTACACTTCCCCACACACTTTCATTGCTGTATATGACTATTAAGTTGCTTAAAGTTAACATACTTTTTATTGAAGCTTTATTTATTCATCCTCATTGCAGGATGGGCGGTATCCCAGCTTGGAATGGGAAAGGAGAGAGACTTCTTCTCTACGTTGGAATCATCGACATCCTGCAGTCCTACAGGTGAGCATCACAGTAGTCATGAGATTAAACGTCATCACCAGCTTCACATCTTCCAGTGCGACAGGCTGGAGATTTTCATCAGAGAACTTTATGTACACACTGTGTCTTCTGTAGCAGCCATGCTCCAAATAAACTCCATCACTTCAGACAACACATTTAATGTTATTGGCCTACACTATAATATGACATTTGTAACATTACTGCGTTAAACTTTGTTTCCCTCCTCTCTCTTTCTGCAGGCTAATCAAGAAACTGGAGCACACGTGGAAGGCTTTGGTTCATGACGGGGTACGTTTCGTAAACACACATAAACACACTAATACATTAAATCATACTCATCCATATCTCAGTGAAAGACACTGACTCTTCCATTTACAAAATGGTTATTATTTTGATCTTGACTCTTTTCATCCTACCGCATACTGTGTGGATCGTTTTGTTTACACGCATTCGGGCCCTCCTTTAGGAGATTACACAACAATATCAACAAGTTACATTTAGCGAGGCATCACACAACGGCATTTCTGTTTTTGGATCTTCCTTTTTTTAAATCTTTTTCTGTGTGTCTCTGGCAGCTTGTCTCCTCCCCTATGTGTGAACTTTCTTTTAACTTGGAAGACTAAACTCATTAATATCCTGCGGGCCCAGTAGTAGGTGTATTACATCTTATTAGACGTCAGCTCTAATCAGAGCTATAGGTTACTTAAATGGGAATGAAATGCCTATCAAAAGACACAGTTGCCTTTTATTGAGTTAATATTTAACTATAATTTTGCACTCAATATACGCTCATTCTCATTATCTTTCTATTATTGTCATAAAGATAATATGACTTGAGTTTTTCCTTGTTTTAAATTAAATTTCCTTTATTTAATTTGAATGATTTATGAGCAGTCAGCCTTTATTTAAGAAACGTAGAGAGACACACACAGAAAATGTAGCACACTTTCTTGATGACATGCATACATTTGAACAATTTAAAGTGGACCTATCATGCTATATTTGACAAATATATTGTAGGGCCATACCTATATAAAACATGTCTGTGAAGTTTCTTTTTCAAAATACCAAACAGATCATGCATTTTAGCCATGCCTCATTTCGCTCTATTTGCTCTATTCCAGGCCTGTTTTTGCAGGGGCTGATTCTGTGACGTAGCTTTAATGCAAATGAGCTGCAGCTGACCACGCCCCCCTGCAGGAGAGGGGAGCGTGCTCTGATCAACTGCTGGGCTCTCAGAAGAGGGGGAGAAAAAGAGATCTCTGTCCTCCGTGTTTTATTCTTATATGATTATATAGAGTCATTATTCATTTGTTTTAAAGCTCAATAAATAACAAAGAAGGCCTTTGTCCGGAGATTTAAACTTTAACGGACCATGTGACCGGCGAAAAAACTGAACTCTGCCGCAGCGGTCCCCTCGTTCCTTGGAAGTAGGCGGACAGAGTGGGTGTTTGTCATCTGCCAGTTGGACTACCGGGAGAGAATTACAGCG